ACACAGTGGATGGATAATGTCACATCACAGAGAAAGATTTCTTTGACCTTTACTGGATGTCACTTCTGTTTGATGAATCAGTCGAGGCTGCAGAAGATGATATTTCAGCAAGTAAACAAACATCACCTCTCGTTTGATAACCAACATGATTTAAACGGGCTGCAGAGACAACACGACTTGAACAGATCAGAGCATGAATGATTTTTAAGAACAAAAAAAAAAACAGCAAACAGGGTATTTTAAAAGATGTCGAGCGGACCTGTTCCTGAACTTGTTAAAGATTACTGCATCACTTGAGCCTTTGATCTGCCGTTGCATCACAGTCCTGAGGATGCTGCTTTAAGTAGCACTCATAATTCCTGTTGAAGACTTTAGCTTAAAAAAAAAAAAACAAAGCTCCACTGAAGCTCTGCCTCAACCAGATTTAAGGAATGAGCCGTGCTGGCATGTTACTCTCAAAGTTCAGTAAGAATCTTAATGACAACATGTTGGATGCTTCTTGCACACTTTAAAACTCTTCATATTTGTAGCTGATTGGTGGCCTGTTGCACGAGCTCCGTCCTACAGGGGGGTCATCTCATGTTCCTTCAGCCCTATGTTCCCTCATTTCTATGAAATTTCCCCCACCATCAAAAGTAGTTCCCCATGTTCCCTCAGCCCTTTGTTTCCTAAGGCCTACATCAGCGTCATTATGCACATAATGTATTGTTGCACCTAACCGCCTTGCTGGAGGTGCATCGTCTCTCTCTGCCATCTTGGTTCTTTCTTCAATAAGTGTCTGGTGGTCTCTCATGGGACGGATGAATAGCAACAGAGAAAGAGGGAACACTTGCACGGCATCATGCACCGTCTGGCTCGCCCAAAGTCTTGCATATTATTTGCTCAAGTTGCAAAACTTCAACTCGACTGAACACGCAGGTGGAATGAGGAGGGTAATAATCTGAGGGAAGAGATTTAAGATTAACTTTTCTTGATCCCTGCAAGGGGAAGTTTCAGTTTTTACACTCTGTAAGTCATGAACACACACAGAGGCTGAAATACACACACGCAGAAACAGGATTATATGCACATGCACTAATGGAGAGAAGCTGAGTGATCGGGTGGCCCACAGCGGGCGCTCCTGAGCTGATGGTGGGGAGGGGGTTTGGTGCCTTGCTCAAGGGCACCTTGGTAGTGCTCAGGAGGTGATCTGGCACCTCTCCAGCTACCAGACCAACTTCCATATTTGGTCTGCACTGGGACTTGAACTGGTGACCCTCTGGTTCCTAACACAAGTCCTTACAGACTGAGCTACTGCCACCCTGAGCTACTGCTGCCCAACATAGTCACGCTCCTGTCCTGGGTTATGATGTAAATTCAACCCTCAAACCTACTTTGAAACAAGTTCTAACTTAAGCTGTGTCATTGTTTGGTTGCACCACAAAGACATCTTAACTAGCCCGCACGAACCAAAGTGTTGTCACAGAAATTACGTTTTCACATCATGCGGCCAATCAGTTAAAAGCACTTGTTACAGCTGTTTGTCATGAATAATTGTCTCTGAACAGACTAACAGCTGAAAAATAACTTCTGCTAATGTAGAAGAGTAAATGCTCTTGAACAGTCAGACAGAGACTATGGCTTGTGAATTGAGGATTTGTTTATTTCTCTTGCACTGGGCAATTACAACATGTATGCTATATAAAGACCATTTCCTAGAAGTTTCTTGGCCGAACAAACTGGTCTATTACCAGGAAAGGGCGGGTGGGTATGTGTGTACGTGTATCAGAACATGACCTAATGACCTGGCTAAATTCAGGGGCTAGATAACTATTGGTTTGTGCCTGTTGCTTACCAGATTGTGTATTTCTGTTATGATTCATCCTTTCAAACTACAACATAATCCCCCCTCTGGGGGTTAGCAAATAACAGATATATGTATAACAATGATTAACCACTTAATTAAAATGCATAGAATGAATCAAACCAATCAAAGAATGAATTTTTAAGCTTTTGTAGGCATAAGCTTAGCAGAATGTTAAAGTCAGCACTTGCTTGATATTGCAGTTTCTTGAAGAATCACCACTTGAATATTTGTGTTATTGAAGACTTCTTGAAGTTCTTACTCAAGATGTTTACCTTTAATTTAAGTCTTAGTCAACACATGAAGTGCACACATTTTCAAACACTATAATGTGAGTATTATGTGAAATGGATATAAACTCCTCAAAAAAGTTTGGAAACGTTATTTTGGTCACTTATTACGCCCTTTAATAATACTAATTGGTGTTGTATTATCTTTACAACGAGGTATAACTTTTAAAGGATCCTGCATTTGTGGAATGTGCAATACAAAACAATGTGCCAAAATCCCCTGCAATGTTCTTCTGTTGGTATTCACTCCTGTTTTGAGTTGCTTGGTGGAATGGATGATTGCACTCTCCCACAGTAATACGTTTTTCACACTTCATTCATTTTACACTGTCAGGGACCTCAGAAGCGTTTGGAAGATCCTTACACAGCCACAACAGCTTGGCCCCTCCTCCTCATGCTGGTCACCAGCCTGGTCATGCTGGTCACCAAGCTGATCCGACAAGTGCTGTCAATCAGGTGCCAGTCATACACCTGTAACTGGCACACACCTGGCAGCACTTGAAGATCAAAACAGGAGTGAATACCAACAGAAGAACACTGAAGGGGATTTTGCCACATTTTTTTTAGAGCGCTACTCACACGTTTATCTGTGTTGCACATTCCACAAATGGACGATCCTTACAAGTTATACCTTGTTGTAAAGGTGACTAATCAGGCTTTCCAACGATATAAAATACAACACCAATTAGTATTATTAAAGGGGCGTGATAAGTGACCAAAATAACGTTTCCAAACTTTTTTTGAGGAGTTTAGTTGAATAATGAAACTGTTGAAATGTGTATTTTGATAACTCAAAACAAAAACAAATGCTGGTGATATGCTGTTCCTTGTTAATGTCCATTATCCGTTCGCGACTCTCCATCAGTTGAATTTTACGACAAAGTCTTTTTGGTGGCAACCTTTCCAGAATCATTCTACTCCATGAGCAATGCAAAGTTGTTACAGACCCACAGCGATCTTGAACTAGTCCTTTACTTCAAAGTCCAGTTCTCTGCTGTTATTTAAAAGACAAACCAGACCTTACTGTGACAGCATGTGTAACACAGAAGAAGAGAAAAAAAGGCACAGCAGAAACCGCCTACTATTCTAGTCGTACATACTGATTTTTGCAGTTTGCAAATAAATGCAACAATACCCAGATGTCGTACTGATCCCCAGTATACATCAGACCAGTCTTCCTCGCATACTGTGTCCGACAATGCAAAGTGTTGGGTGAGAGATAGAAATGACGGGCAGCAACTTCCATCATAACGGGAAATAATCACAATCAAACCAAACCACACAAAGATACCACCAATGATCTTTTTGTGATTCTCAAAATCATGAAAATCTAAATGAATCACTTGTCAAATCTTTTTCAGATGCAGACACAATTCTACAATTCACTATCAGACTCTTTTAAGCGACGTACATCAGAGAGTAAGAACAACACAAGCAAGGATCTAGAAAAAAGGGAACAATGTCAGTAAGAGCAAACGATCAGCTTTGAGTCTGATTGGACACACAGGTGCTGACAGGAAGTGACCAGAGGCAAAGCACAACATTGAGGGCAGTTCTTGAGAGCTCTAATCAGTATAGAAACCATCTTATAAGTCGTCGTTATCAAACAAAAACCATCGTCATTACCATCATCATCATCAATAATATGGAGACCATCATCATTAAGTTAGTAGGTATTCATGAAAGAGCTGGGTCTTTAGCTTTTTCTTAAAGGTGCAAAGGGTTAGCACCACCATTACCTATACAGTCTGACTACCTGTAGAGAGACCCCCTGGGTGCTGAGGTAGAATACTTTTAACTTTTGAACCATTTTCCAAGAACCAAGCACTCACTGGGTTGGCTTCATATCTGCATCATAATGAAACAAAGATTCCCAAAGGGTGAGCATGTGCAGAAGTTTTTGGGGTTTTCCCTGAAGAGGGGATGAGTCACTGACACAAAGGAGATGGACTCACTGTCAACAGTCATGTTGTCCAAAAACGAGCCATGCCTGAAGCTATGTCACAACTCTTTGTATATCTGTACAACCACTGTTCTTTCACTTTCTCACAGACGGTTTGAACAGGAACCTCTGCCATTGTTGTGAGTCTCAGTACAACTGTCAGTAAACAGGTCTGTACAGATTCACCTGATTAATCTCTCGGGGTTTTCCTGGTTTGATTGTTTACTTATCCGGGTTTCCCTGTTGCCCAACGGTCATCAGGCGGACACTAAAAGCGTACATGCACCCAAAATAATTCAGGTTCATAAAAAACGTTTGTATGCACACCTGCTCGTAATGTTCCCTTTATAAATCAGTAACCACCTGGACATGTGCACAGGTGGATCAGCTCCCATAAGCCGCCCTCTACACGCCCTTATTCAACAATAAACGGTGAATGCAAAGCACTTCATGAATGAAAATGCATACAAACGACTTTTAACAAAAAAACAAAAGTAAGGCAAAGAAAATAAACTTTCTGACCCAGAAGTGGAGGTCAGAAAGTACATATTGTTAGTTCGCTGCAGCAGGAGGGTCACAAACTTCAGATAATAAGAGAATGACAACACGTCGCTGCTGCATTCATGTTGACCTCCTACAGTGCCAAAACATCCACCATTCATCCTTACACACTAGTCTATCTGCAGTGCTTATGTTTACTGGACCCACACTGACTCCTTCATATAAAGTCACAGTGCTCACATCAATCAGAAGTCTGCGATATTATTTTGATCAATGAACAGCTTTTAATATTTGTCTACATTTTATCATGGCAAAGTGTGTCTAACTATGAGGATGTATAGGCCTAATGATCATGTTAGAGATGCCCCGAGTTAACTTCCACTTTACTTATTTACACAACAAATACTTCCAGGTGATGGAGAGGAGCTGACATGAGAAGGGAAAATGTGTCTCTGTGAATCTCACAGCTCAGTAATCGTACTAGAAATCGTAAACTGGTGGAACTTCAGTTTCTGTGTTTCAGTTGATTTTGGATCTCTACATCAGTGATTACATTAGCGTACAATCTGTTCCTCTGACCTCCGTCCTGGATAATGAAGGTGAGATAACAGCTGATTAGACAATGAGTAAGGTATTTTACCTGCTTTTTGTAAAGTGTCTCGAGATAACACTTGTTATCAGTTGATGCTATACAAATAAAAATTGATTGAAATTGATTGATAGGTGGCGGATGTTGTTTTTTGTTGATAGCTTTTGATATTGAAAGTTAGATATTAAAAACAGCGTTCGTCTGTGTTTTTATGTGTTTGAAACCGCCGCTGCTGCATACTACTATCGAACACAGCATGCAGTCTGTATGACCCCACATTTTCAGGTGGAACATGACTTATGAAGGGAACAAAATGTGTAGGTGTGCATAAGTATGGTTATATAAATCTGAATTTTTGGAACATGCCAATTTCTTGTCAATTTGTAAAAGTCAGTTTCCAGTTTTTCACAGCTGTTTCCTTTTTTTAAAGACAAAAAAATATAAATTTTTATTTGAGTTAATGTTTGGTCACTAGTTTCTCTGTCCTTATTCTTATCTGGATCAGCTGACTGTTATATGTTCACTTTATCAAACCTTTAACAACCTTCCGATCGATACAATAAAGCTTTCAACGAGGGCACATATAACTATAAAAGTCTGGCTCATTATGAACTGGGTCATGTTGAAAGCCAGTTACATTATGCTTTCCTGAACATTTTGTAGATAGTAAAACAATTTCACGCTGTCTTTCCCGTCAGACCTTGCAGAACATTTACGACGTGTGGATGGGATGGAAAGTTTAAAGAGCAGATCAATAAAAAACAACCTCAATTAAACACTAACTCTGAAGCCTTTTTCACAACACATTAACTCCTTATGCTGCTACCAAAATATTTTGGTGCTTTCACACTTGCACAAAACTTCTGAAGATTTCAGGATGAGCTGCCTTTCTTTTTTCTGTCTCCTGCCGGCCCCCATAGTATTATTTCAGCATGAAGTGAGCTGATGTGAAAACCCAACAGGATATAATCAGGAGAATTCCCCTCAAGTGAGTCGGAGGGAGTTGTGACTCGAAGTCCCTGCAGTAGGTGCACAAAAAAAAACTGTATGCAGATTACCAATTTCGACCTCCGTGCATGTCTGCATCATGTTCTCCTGTATGTTCTTCTCTGCTCTTTTGTTGATTTTGTGATTGAACTACACACAACATTGATATAAAGGAAAATATCTGATTATATCGTATAGCGCACTCTGTTGCCTTGTCCGCCATTTTTATGTCATCTCATGCCTCATGAGACCACCCCTCCCCCACACCGAGAGGTGCGTCTGTGAACAACCACATTAGATGGATTTCAGGGGCAGTTGTGAATTTTTCGAGACATTTTTCAGTAAATATGCGAGAACAGCCTTGCCTGTTCACACATGCACCTCAAAGCGGGAGACTTCTCCTGTAGAATGGGGGTCTCAGGAGTCTGGACCAATGCAACGTGAAATTGAAAGTATTCCCTGAACCAAATAATGGAGAGCAAAAAAGAGCATGAAGCAGAGTCATTACGAGATTTGTGCAAGAGGATATAAATATCATCGCCCAGGCCTGCTTGCTTGGGGTGGATTTTTCTGAATATTTCCTTCCTGTTGATTTCACACTTTCTCACCACAACTTCATGCAGAATGGAAAAAATTCTATATAAAGTTTGGGTGGAAAAAAAAAATCACCTATTTGTGTTCATTCATGCACCTCACGCTAAAATTTCAGTAAAGTTTTAATGAGTTTTTGTGCATGTGTGAAAACACCACTACCCTCCTGGCCTCCATCAACAGCTTTTCCTGAGGCTGTTTTCCAGCCACAGGCAGCATGGTTGAAGCTCTCAGTACAGCCATTACAGACATCAGGAAAGTGGCAGGAAGCAATCAATGCTCCCCTCTCCTCCTGACAGAGCTGTTAGGAAAGGCTGCACAGGAGGCTCAAAATTGTTTCTGCGAGCAAAGGAGCCGAGCTGCTTGAGCAGAAAGATTGTTTCTTTGTTGTCGTGGCTGCACACTGGCAGGAAGGCGACTCGTTAACCAAACAGAATCAGGCCAATTTGATCAAACTGTCACTGTCAGTGGGTCTCTGCACGGCGTGATCATGGGCTTTAGCTGTAGTATGTGCTTACCTTATAACATTGGAAAACGAATGGAAAGTCTGTATCTACTGTATGCCTTTTCTTGAACACATTTAGAAATACCAGACCACATGTTTATTATATTTACGTCTGTCAGGAGAATTCAATGAAATGCACTCTCAGAGAGCTAAAACAGACAAATGCAATCAAAATGTGACAACCATTTATTATTGAATTGATTGCATATTGGTTTTCAATCAAGTTAAATATTTCTTCAGATATCATATTTAATTTTTTATTACATTGATCACATTTTGAATTTACCTGAACGAACTCACACATAGCATCTGAAATCACCATGGCAACAGCAGGCATGCCCTTGAAATCTGTCTCCCCTATCATGAACATAACGATAGCAGAAATATCTGCGGACCTCCAGCTGACGAGGGATATTTATGATTTAGCTGCTACAGTGAACGCTGGGATTAAGTTGTGCTACTAGTTGATCTTGCGGGGGAAAAATAATTCGATTTTTCCTTTTACTGCTATTTGCTGTGCTCGGTGTTTTAAAAAAAACAGGCCTGAGGTGTTTTACTGAATGTTAGCCCTACTGTGATTGCCTTTAGCACTCTACCTGTAAACTATTCAGAACAGAAGTGATCTGCACTACAACATCTCTCCTGCTCGTGCGACGGTGCTTCCCTGAAATTTCGACGTTTCTCTGAGAAACGGCCGATCTTTATGATGACAGACATGCAGATAAAGATGTCTGACTGGAGGAGAAATTACTCGAGTGAAGTCAGTAAGAGTTGCATCTCTACATGAACATTGTGATTTGCCATCTGTGGCTTCACGATGCATCAATCTCACCATAACTTAGTGGCTGTTAAAAGCTTCAGAAGGATCCAACTGAGTCATTTTGATTGTCGTGCAGCTGCCTCCTGCAGCTGGCGGGGACTTTGAGGGATTTGAGACGATTATGCCATTTACAACATGTCTTTATGCTCATAACTTGTGTACTGAGCAGGATACTGGACTGAAAAACCAGTTTAAACTGGGAGAAACTATTACTTTACAGCATTGTTAGTACAATGAATACCCAATGAAATCATCACTGTGACAAAATGACTTCCAACAGCTGTTTTCAAAAATCTGCACTCCTGAACATTTCTAGAAAATTTCAGGCAGACTGCTTCTGAAATCTTCCTGAGTCGCTTATTCTTGTTTGCATTCACACATGCAGCTCACCCTGAAAACTTAAATCACAGAATCTCTACGTCTCAATTCTGAGAACTCATCGCATTCAACTTTACAAACTTAGCCAAACTTTAAAATGTAAGGTAAAAAAAAAACAAGGTAGACTAGAGGGTTTATTTGCACACTTGAGGTTGACATTCCCGCAGGGCAGGAATGAAATACAACAGTGACTCGGGGACGAGTAGCCTCAAGAGACAAGGTTGTAAGGCAGGTGTGGTGGAAAAATCAGCCGAAGGATGTTGGTTTTGTTAAACGTAAGTTGCAAGCAGGTGTTTAGTTCCGTTTAAACAACTTGATTACTGGCATGTGCAGCCAAAATTTAAGATGACGTAAAGTAGTGTAAGGAAAACAGAAACTGGATGGGATGTGTCATTTTGCCAGGACGGGATTTCTGGCCTGGGATTGGGATGGAACAGGATTATTTTTGTGGGAGTGGGATAAAACAGGAGTGAAAAACCACAACTGTGTCAGCCTCTACTTCCCACCATCAAAAATTTGAGTCATATTAGGAATAGATGTTCAAACAATTCATTTGCATAAAACAAAAGCAGAAGAAAGTGCTAAAGACTTTTAGTAATTCTATTTTTACCCATTTAGTCCAATAAAAAACATCCCGTCTTCCTGTATGTGATCCATTAAACTCAGACTGTCAACCATAATCAGATTCATCCGAGCGATAATTCTCTCTAATCCCTGCAGGAACAACAATCTCAGGGATCCTTATTATCTTTTGTTTGGACTGTAAATTAGGTAGCAGAAAATATTTTGGGTACATATCCAACGCCGCCTCTAATCCCAGTAGTGTTGTCAGCAGCAGCTTTAAAAGCAGGACACATTTATGTTTGAAGTTTATCACTCTGAAACCAGCTCTGAGGAGATCAGAAGCATGTTGTTTTTTTTTTTGCAGAATCAGGGAGCTAATCTGGCTCAGAGCATGCTGGGTAGCTGGCCTACCTTCTTAGCGAATGTAGAGCCGTGCTCAAAGTTGTTTTAGCTAACGCGGAGGATTAGCCTCGTCTGTTTGCTTGCACTTTGAAGTCCATGTGTTAGTGCAGCATCACGGGGCCTAAACATGCCCCTTTACTTTGGCTCGTCTCCCAGCTGAGATTCTAGCTTCTAAAGGTGTTTTTATGATCAGGTGATTAAAACATGGTTCAAACTGCCTCGGTAAAGAAGATGACCCTCTGTGTGATTAACAACACTCAGACAGCCACTTCACACTGAAGTGCTCATAGACAGAGCGCGTTCCCTGCCAGAGATTTAAAGTGTATTCCCCTTAATTGTAAAAAAGGAAATGATTATGGTGATTGCAGTGGAAGCACATGAACGTTTCTGTGCATCTCATCCCCTCATGAGCCATTCATGCAGCCCGGAGAAATTACCTTCCATCTACGAGTGAGCAGATGCCCTCATGTTGGTGCCCGCTCCCTCAATGAAGCTTCAGTTGCTTCACTTTGATTTTACGAAGGTGAGTCAGCATGACTGTCTGCTGCAACTTACTCACAAACAATGAATAAACAACTGGTGTTAAAAGTTAAGCCAATGCGGAAGTGCAAAATCCCACAGTTCATGAAGTGTCCACTTGAGGCTGTCTGCAGAAGCAACAGAAGTCAAAAGGGGAGTTTTGATTTTAAGAAGGATAAGAGTTATTCACATTTAGGCGTGTCTAATGTAACTGTTTGTCAGGAGGCTTAAAACCCCCCTCAGCTCTCAGCCAACAGATGGCTGATGTCACTCAGGCTTCGTCCGTTAATATTTACAGTGTATGGTGATAACAGATTCATTTTCAGGAGATGTCGAGAGATTAACTCGGGAAAATCAGCGTTGTTATCCAAAGACGATGACATAAATAAGTTGAGATCCCAAGAAAATAAAATGGAAATAACTTAAAAAGGGAAATCTGAGTCAAAAAAAGTGTGTTGATTTATGTCACTCTAGGGCTTCCGTACTTTTGCACACGTTCCTACTACTTGGATCTCTCAAACTGCCCTTTTTGCTGTTTAAACACATTATTTACTGTATATTTGAATGCATTTTTTAATCTGTGTTGATTGGTTTTTATGTCTGAAAGAGTGACACCATGACAAGTTAGCTGAATGTGTGACCTTCCTTTAAAGAAAAATTTGTGAAAGTCAGTTTTTTGGACCACTGCTTTTCAAGGGCAGATGTTTGATTCTTTGTGTTTATGCGAACATGTTGAGACAAAAAGCTAGAGGGATTGTGCTGCTTGTGATGCAAATACTATTCATATTTTGTTTGTTCAAGTTCATACATGTGGATGGCTGTGTGTGTGTGTGTGTGTGTGTGTGTGTGTGTGTGTTGTGTGTGTGTGTGTGTGTGTGTGTAAATCCTCCCCTCTTGCGCAGAATGAAGACCTCAAATGAAGCCTTTTGTGTGTAAAAAATGAGACATCTGGAAACAGCATTTCCAGCATGTCGACCGCCATTGATGAGACTTCAAAGCCCCCTGCAGGTACAGATGGGTAGCGTCACTCAGGCTTCATCCATCAATGTTTACAGTCTATAGTCAAAAGCAAGCGGCAATATTTGGTGTTAAAAAAATAAGCTGAATTGGAAGTCAAATGCAGTTCCTGGAGTGTGCACTTGAGGCTGTAACACCACTATGCATGTCTTTTTAAAAAACAAAGCCCTTGATAAATGCCTGATTAATACAGCTCCAAGAAAAAACAAAGCTCCCTGTCATCAAGATTAACTCTTAACGAAGCATTTAGTTTTATTTACTACAATTCTTTTACAAAAAACACCAACTGTATCATTATTTCTCTCGTTAATTTCATATGATATGTCATGTTTTCTCTCACTCACACACACAAGGTAGAAGGTTTGTAAGGATGATGAGAGTAAAGGATGTGCTTGGCAAAGTTTTGTTTGGAAAGGCAGACTTTTTCAGATGGTTACTAAATAATTTGGGTTACTGGACTTTGGACATAAATATCAAACACTGCAGCTTATCAGGTGTCCTCCTTTCCCCATTGGCTGCTGAGCTTGACCCCATCCCCCTCTGGATCAATTTTGTTTAGACGTACAGGACTGACCGGCCTTGTTGTCGATAGTATTCATGGACGGTGTGTATTAGCCTTCTAACCCACCCCCGATACTCATCCACAGTGATTTAGTGGAGCTGAGAACCATGAATTTACAGACAGGCAGTCGAGACGACGGGTGAGTGCTTTATGGTTTTGTTTATGGCGGCTGGTGGGACCTTAACCTGGCAGTGATGGCGGGAGGGGAGGGGGGGGGGGGTTGAGAGGGGTGCAGTAGAGTGTGCAGTCAAATTGCATGCGTGTTTCTGATTTCTAAATAACCTCCAGTGTTTAAAAAATGAAGCCAATGTGTAAGTGCAAAAAACTGCAGTTCCTCATATGTCCACTTGAGGCTGGCTCCAAAAGACCCGGAAGTCCCATACACACCCCATATGAAAATACCTGTTTAGTCAGCTTAAAAATAACTTGAAAAGATTTTGGTCGGATTTGTAAATGTCTTTACCAGCACACACTGTACAAGGAGGGATTGATTTTAATAACTAACATGTTTTGATTTTTTGAAGAATACGAGCTAGCATAATTACGGGACCGTTTCAACTGCATGGAGCACAGAGTTACGGGTTGTTATGGGTTTGGAGATTTAAGACCTGCCTCAGCTCCAGCTCTATTCCTGTATTTGACTAAAATACAGAGACTTAAAACTAAAGGTGACCGGGTCTTTTCAGTCAGGGCCCCTCGACTTTGGAACGACCTCCCTGAGGAGATAAGACTCGCAGATTCCCTCAATTCTTTTAAATCCCTTCTTAAAACGTACTTTTACAGACTTGCTTTTATGTGATGTCATCTTCTTAATGTCTTTTCTTACTGGTTTTACTATTTCTATCTTCTTTTACTTCTTACTGTCTTTTATTTATGGTCTTATCTCGTATTTATGCTCATATCTTAATCTCCTCTTGTGTTTTAACTTGGTAATTTCTTATCTTACTTACTTTGTCTATTTATGTTTCGTATTTATAGTTAATTTTTATTTTTAATTTTATTAATATTATAGTTTTGGGTTTTTTGATCCTTTAACCACTTGTTTCTATTTATTTTACTGCTCTTACCTTCTTATTGCTGTTATCTTTTTATTTGCTTTTATCTCTTTTAGTTTCTCACATCTTTTTAAATCTTTGGTCCTCTTGGTCTCAGCTCGTGTTGTTGGGTTCTTGTGTTTCCTGGGTTCTTGTGATGGTTCTTGTGATGGTCGGGTTATACATGTCTGGTTGTGTATCGTGCACTTTGGGTTCTTTTCTGTTGAATTGTATTTAATTATTTTTGGTATTTTGCATCTGTTATGTTCTTACTGTTGTTTATGTTTTTCTGTGTTTGGTTTAGTTTGCTTTGTTCTTGCTGTTTGTCAAAGCACTTTGTAAACCTGTGTTTTTAAAAGGTGCTATATAAATAAAGTTATTATTATTATTATAAAAGTTTAATAGATTCAGCATTTCTAATTTGGCCACCGCTATGGTTAGGCTTCCAAAACACCCATTCAGAAACGAATGGATGACGTCATTAAGGCTTTGTCCATTAATATTTATATCTATGGTATGAGTTCATTAAGTTTGGAAGAACATAACTCAGGGGGAGGGTTGGAAAGTATGGGTGTGGGATAAAAAAAAAAATGTATAGCAAGAGGGGGTACAGTACGCTCATCAAGTAAGTGCAGGAATATAAAAACTGCAGACTGAGGAAGAAGATACAGAATGTCCACAAACTTTCTCAAATGCCACAAATCGTTTGAATTCATCACAACGACAACGTTTTAACCCGAGGTCTTCTACAGTCACAAAGAAGTTTCATGTCAGTATCGCAATGAAAGATTTCTACAAAACCTAAAACTATCCATAAGATGATGGTGTTCAATAAGGTGAACCAAATTATATTCAACTGAGAGCGCTGTGAGCGAAACGACAAACTTCTGACGCTGATGGGGTTTTTGGCCTTAGGACGTTTAACCCTGGAAACGATGAACTGCATTAATTTTCTGCTGTGGTTCAGTGGGTAGAGTCGGTCGTCTTTTAACCGGAAGGTCAGGGGTTTGATCCCCAGCTCCTGCAGCAACATGTCCAAAGTGTCCTTGGGCAAGACACTTAACCCCAAGCTGCTCCCACTGCTTCATCTGCAGTGTATGAATGTGTATGAATGGGATGAGTTACTTCTGATGGTCACTTTACTCAGCAGCCTCTACCATCAGTGTGTGAATGTGTAGGTGTGACCTGCAGTGTAAAAGCGCTTTGAGTAGTCAGAAGACTGGAAAAGGGCTTTATAAGCTTAAGTCCATTCACCATTTTGTTTAGAAAATAGTTTAAAAAAAAACAATGTCAGTGGACAGAGGCCCTTATAGGGGCGTCGCTGATTTGACTGATAGATGGGCGTACTGCAGCTGTTTACCAGTAAGCTTTAGGTCTCAACTCTGTCTCTTTGCCTGATTCTAAAGTGAATAAAATGTTGGTATAGTCAGACATTTTAACACAGACAGTGTTGGGCTTCAAAAAGCCTCTTCAGAAACCAATGGGTGATGTCACTGAGAGTACGTCCATGTGCTATACGGCCTATAGTTACAGTGCTGTGTGGACTAAACCATAAAGTCAGTCTAAAAAGAAAAGTAGGAAAGTCAGGGACAAATCTCAAATGGAATCTCTCTTATTTTATTCACCTTCAGGGAACACATCGAGGTTGTAAATGAACAAGTGACAAAGCAGTTCTTGACTATACTCATCCCTCAACACAACTTTGTTAAGCTCACTATTCATCACTGGAAGCACCTCATAAAAGATGAGTCCAAATATCACCCAACAAAGGAGTGCTTCTAACAGAGTGCCGGTCAGATCATTAGCCTCCATTGATGTCCCCTTTAAAGGCATTACCCTTCATAAATGATAGCCCTGTCCATTAGTGACAGTGCATAAAATAAGCTGCTTGACTGCTGATGAGGACGCCTCGCTATCAACGGCCTCCGCTACTCTGAGACCCTGCGACTAAGAAGGACCATTCCCTATAGGAGAGAAAAGGCATTAAGGCGGGCATCCATTATCTTTCACTTGGTGCTAAAAAAGACAATAAAAACTCAATGAAATGTCTGAGAGAGCAAAACCTGCAGATTCAAAGCGTTAGATGGCGTTCTTGTTGGAGGTGAGAGACGGTTTTATGTGTTAGTGGTAGGGTTGTCTGTCACCAGATTTTCTAACTTAGATACCATTATAGCATCAATCCAACAATCACAATACCTATTTAGATACCATGGCAACAAAAATACAAGTCCTAGGCCCTAAATATCGGGTAGTTTCTTGAATTGAATAAACAATAATGCATGCAATCTGCTGCACGGTGTCAGAATTCAACAGATATGTATTATGCATATTAAAGGTGCGATATAAATAAAGTTATTATAAGTTATTATTATGCAACGTTGAGGTGACGTTTGTAAAAGTCTTATTAAATATAAATTCAAGAGAGATTTCCAAACGACAGCTGGTTAAATCAGTCAGCTGGAATTATTAACCCAACACACAGATTGTGTCTGCAGGCTCTCACTGGATTAGTATCACCTGGAGACCTCTGATCTTTTGGAATAATTGTGGAGGACATCTGTGTTATCTTAATCCAGTGAAGACAATCAGTGATGTAAATTTTAAAAAGTAAAAATTCCAGAGCCAATTACCGACCATATTTAAGCAAACATGGACGTCCAAGGATTCCCAATCGGCATCTCAGTAATTTTGGGATGGTATTTATGTTTCTTTAAGAATAACAGAAATGACTGATCAAATCGACCTCTGTCGCAAGGATGATGTAATACAAATAGCTGTTCACTTCAATCTCACATTTGCCAAACAAAGTCTGAAGAAAGAGCTAAATTCCACCAGATCATCAACTTCAAAGTGCAAGTAAACAGAGGAGGCTAATCCTCCGCGTCAGCAACATTGATGTCAACTTTGACGGGAAGTCAGTCACCAAAACAACATTAAAACATCCGATTCATTTTCAGAATAAAAGGCTCCGTTGTGAAGGTTCAGAATAACGACCGTGTGTTTTCTTTATGTTTTAAATGGTTTTATACGGTTTGATAACACATACATCGTATTACCTTTCAAATTAACACACCACATCCGTTAACATGAAGGAGGCGGGGTTTAGTGACCTATACTGCAGCCAGGCAGCAGGGGGAGCGCTTAACATTTTGGCTTCACTCCTAGGCAGCTGTTTTCTCCATCCATCTTTATATACAGTCTCAGGCTGGGCCGCTTTAAATGTTTTCTTGGGCAGGTCCTTCATCTCTTCCCGTCTAATGTCAATGGTGTTTACATTTAAGACGGGGGGAAAGGAGGGAAGCTGATTACAAAGATAAATTAAATATCACATTCCAGGTTTACAGCACAGCTTCCTGTTTCCCTGCTCTCATGGTATGCTTCCTACAGCATCTTTCTATGAAGCCAGAGAGAGCTTTCTTTTTTCTCTGTTTTTCTAAAACATCTCTTGTTGATTACCCTTCAGAGAAAATTGGACCAAATACAACTTTGAAATTACACTTCTATAAAAGCTTGAAAGTGTCTCATGCTGTAGCATCACTTTAGGACGAGTCTGCTAAATTACTGCGGTGTCGAGGGAGAAAGAGGACCAAAACAAACTCATCAGAAATGTCATTTGAATCCACTCGAAAAGGTTTCCTCACATGGCTCCGGGGCTTGATAAAAGTTTGCCACCAAAAAGTTGAGTAAAACTTTTGTTGGAAAGGATTAGGCTTCTGTGTGCTTGAAGCTAAAACAACACATTCAAAAAGAGACAATTTCACTGACAGATTTCAGCAGCAGGCGGAGGCATCAGCTGTTTTATGAACGTGATTACTTCCCATTGCTGTCACTCGTGCTGTCACTGAGTTGTCAGTTTGAGGTTACTTTATCATGCACTTAAAAAACACAACATAATTAAATCTACTTCTGTGATAAGTTTTTAGTGAGTTACACTAACAGCAGCATGCTGATTACAAAAAGACATTTCTCCTCTTACCTCTGGCTGTTGAATAATGTCTGACTGCAGGATCAGTCCAGGGCTGTTTGTTATCTGCAGCTTAGCATCACCGCGCTGGACTGCTGACTCATTTCCTAATGTGAAAGCTATTGTCTCTAAGATGCTCTCACTTCCTTTCTTAAGTACAATTATAAATCTCTTGCTGTCAAACTGAGTGCTTCTACTTCTGTCCTCGACATCTAATGAATGTTTGGCGCTGACTCCGCTGTACTTAAGTTTCCCCTCTGAAGGAAACGTGTTAAATCCTTCATCATAAAGGTGAGAGGACGGCTGTTAGCAGAGTTCATCACAAATATCTTTACACACTTTTTTTACTCCACACCACAGACTGTAAATATTAATGGATGAAGCCTGGGTGATGTCATCCATCTGTTCCTGCAGGCGGCGCTGGAGGCTCATCGGCAGCCGCCGCCATGTTGGAAATGCTGTCTCATCCTAACCCCCAATCCCCCCAAATACTCCACACGCCCTGCCCCACTGGATCCTTTTCTGGAAGGTGAGCGCTGCCATCCCGCGGGAATAAAGAGAAATACTAAAATACAACATGTTGCTTCGTCTTTCTGAAGATAATCTGTTTTTTGTTTGGTGCCTGTTTTGAGGTAATGTTGATAAATTGATGAAAAATACGCTAGGAAGTCCATATATTGTGTTTTATTTTGAAATTGACCGGACGCTCTGTGCGTTTCTTTGTCTGACTTCCTGTCCCGGTTGTCATATTCTGTCCAGCTTGACGCGTGCCTGCGGCGAACTCCATCAAAAAAATAGACTCCCAGAGTATTTGAAACGGAGAAGAGCGTAGAGGCGCTGGTGGAACGCTATGGAGACTGACCGCGGCGCCCGCTGTGGAAATACAATGATTGACTAGAGTGGTAGTGAACTAAGGCGTAGTGCTCGGCGCTGATGGAGTATGTGGAAATTGGCGTGTCATTCCCCGCTCTCGCTCTCTCCCTGATTTCCAACCCTATTCACTGTCCTGTCTGCACAATAAAGGCAGAAAAAGCCCCAAAAAGAAATCTAGAAAAGAAACAAAAAAAGGAACTAAGACGGGATAAAAGCGATAAAATAAAGAAAGACAAATACGGTTAAAGGGATGAAAGCATGAGTGAAGGGATTCAAGCAGTTAAACAGATAAAAGGCCAGAATTAGTAAAAGCCATAACAGTAATAAAAGGAAATAATAGCAATAAATGATAATATTTGAGTGTATTATTTGAGGGTAATAAATGAGTAAGAAGAATTCTTCAATATTAGTAAAATAAAGAAAGACAAATACGGTTAAAGGGATGAAAGCATGAGTGAAGGGATTCAAGCAGTTAAACAGATAAAAGACAAGAATTAGTAAAAGCCATAACAGTAATAAAAGGAAATAATAGCAATAAATGATAATATTAGAATTTGAGGGTAATAAATGAGTAAGAAGAATTCTTCAATATTAGACGAGATTAAAAAAGTAAAATGACGATGAAGAGGCAATAAGACGACGACATCACATAAAAGTCTATAAAGAAGAGATAAAAAAAAAGATGTCACCAGTTCTGCACGCCGTATCTCCTCAGGCAGGTCGTTCTAAAGCCGACGGGCCTTTAGGTCAATACACACATTTCTCAAAATAAAAATGCTAATTCATGCCTTGAATCATGAAAGGAAGGATCAGCAGGCGAGTGTGAAAATGAAAAATAAAACTCATATAGGTGACTGTGGTCGCAGTGACACCACTTCAGGGACGGAGGGAGGACAGAAGGAGGCCGCTTATTGTCACACTTGTTCAGTATTCCTCTCCTCTCTCTCTCTGACTTTGTTCGCTCTCCCCCAGCTGCCCACAGGAGGCCTCCCGACAGAAATGAAGGGATTTCTATGCTAGTGGAGTTTTCTGTCATCAATCCTGTTTGCCATGCTTCAGTCCCTGCCTGTCTTCTTCCCTCCCTCCCTCCCTCCATCTCTCCATCTCTCCATCCATCCTTCACTCCACTCTTTCACAGCCATCTCTCCCTTTTCCACCGTGCAGCTCGGTGAATTGATTGCATTGAGCTCATGGAGAAAGGCGTCCTCTGGGGACAGACACTGGAGCACCTCGCCGCCAGGCTTTCTGTTTTAATGAAAAGCTAGAGCCGCAGCAATCACCGTGCAGAGTGGCACACACACAAACTGACACACACATATGTTGCACACTGTGCAGCTAGCTAGCGGGCATATCCACGCTTATAATGACCTCTCCCACGTGGATTCCTGCTGGCTTTTAAAACAACTAGACTAACCACCGGGTTTACCTGCTGAATGCAGTTATCACAGCAGTCCCCGCTCCCATGGCAGAGTCGTTGTAGTGAATGTAGGTCCCTTGTGTTCACACATACAGACGTTCAGTTGTGTGTTACTGATGGGCTGATTGTTTTTTTCAGCGTCATGTTCTGATGTTTTTGCTAAGGCGTGCAGATGCTCTAACATGCCGCAGGGTCAGAGGAAATGGGAGAACCACAGAGGATCCTAATGTCTTACACGCTGCTGCCTCAGAGGAAATCAATATGAGGGATCGATCCCTGCTGGGGATGAAGGGCTGTGGGTCAAGCTAATGTGTGCTGTGTGCTCAGGATGATGCGTCTGCAGCGTGTGTGTGTGTGTGTGCTGACACACTGCATATAATTTAAGTGCTATGTCACTATGAGTACAACAGGTAGTCAATTTCACAGTTATATCAACAGGTAGGTTGTAAACACCACCATTACACCTGAAGCATTCTTCAGTATCTCATTAATATCGACTGTAATCTAAATTTTGACTCAGTTTTGTTAAACCTGATAACTCATTTTGTTGATGTTTTTTTCAATTAAGAAAACTCACAAAAATCGGGTAATTTTTATCCGTTAGTATAAATGCATTTATTAGATGTCTGTAATTCCCTGTTCTCTGATTTTTACACATCACAACATAAACAAACTCCAGCTGATCCAAAACGCCGCAGCCAGATTCATGACCAGGTCCAACAGGAGAACACATCACACCGGTTTTCAAGTCATGTCTCATGGCTCCCATTGCGTTTTAGAATGGATTTTAAAACTCTTGTGATCACTTTGAAAGCTTGTAGAGGGTCAGCTCGAGATAACATTGCTGACCTCCTGACCCCCCCTACCAGCCCCCATGCAACCTGAGATCCTCCAGTAGGTCATTACTTACTATTCCATAAACACGTCTGTCTTTGGTGTTTCCAGGTTCTGATCTCTTCATGTCTTCTATCAGCTCTCTTATCGACGTCATCTTCTTTTAAAAAAACTTTCACCATGGAGCCTCTCCTCATTCCACTTGCATTCAAATTTTAAATACTATTTTGATTGTGTTTGATATCTTTGGAAAAACTGTATTCCCAATTTTTTTTCTCAACTATTGTAAAGGCAGAAGGCAGTCTGTATGGAACACACTTACAGCCCGAGGATTAGGAGAGGAAGGCAGATGCTCGCAGGTCGGGGGAGGCCGCAGAGAGAGCGTAAGGCGGGAGGAGACGAGCTGGAAACCAGGAGAAGATGGGCAGTGACTGGCCATCGTTGCACACACACTACCTGGAACATGTTGTGGTTTAGGGTCCAAACATCCAGTTAAAGTTGGTGACCACATGATGACAAATTCTCCTGGTTGAAAAGCTTCAGTCACAAGCGACGATAGGTGCAGACATTTCAATGTTTCCTATCGTAGCTTTAAAAAAGAGACAGAAAAGTCAGCACACTAAACGTCCTTCAATGACATGTTTTTGGATCACTACACACTCACTGCAGATGTCCCCATGCGGACGGTAAGTCACTCGACTGGAATGCCTTTGTTTGTGCGTTTACACACTCTGTCTGCACACCTGTGCGCCTCATGCCTCAGCTGTGATTTGGACGCCAGACAGACGAACTTTTTTATTTTAGGTTTTTAGATTTTTCTTCTTTTTTTCCCGTCATGCTGCTGAATCCGCTGATCAATAATCAAATTCTTTACCAGCGTGGCTGCTGCACGCTGGAGTAATTACCTCCTCCATTATCTGACCACATCTCTCATTATTCTGTAAGCAGCCTTCATTAGGAGCCACAGGCTGATACGCATGAGGGGACAGAGAGAAACACTCACACTGCAGACTGATAAGCATGCACAAACATGCTCTGCATAGTTTTTAAACTGAAACACAAACAGAGAGGCAGACCCATCACCTTCCTGCACTCCCCCCATCTCCACTTCCTCTCTCTCTTCCCAGTCAATCAGATAACCATTAGGCAGTATTGGTCCCAGGGGCGAGTCCCCTCACACACTGCACATCTGTGTGAGAGCATTTCCATTCAGCAGGGCGGCTCACCTCCTCGCCTCTCCGTGATAGCTGTCCAGCCCGGGGGGAAATAAAGACGGTCGCGGGCCAAATCAAATCCGCGGCACAGTTGTGGGGGGGGGGGGGATCAGCATGTTGCTGGCCTGTTTTCGCTCCTTCTGTTGCGCTTCTTGAGCCAGGCTGGGGGGGGGAGTTTAACGGTTTAATATTGCTAAGACCGCCATGGGCTGCAGGCTTGATTTCCACTGTGGGCAAGTGCCAGGGATGATCCTGGAAGATAATTTTAAAACAATAAATCCTGCAAACACAATGCAAAGTCACAGAATGTTTTGGTTCTTATACGTCGAGTTAACACAGCTCTCGAGTAGACGGAGCAACACCCAACCTTCAGCGAGGTGATCTGACACGACTACCACCCGACGTCCCTGACGCCCAGCCTCCACCATCGGACTGTCTCGTCCTCACAACCACCGCCGTCCTCGTTCATGCACGGTTAAATCAGTCTCAATATTCACAAATGCACACAGAAGGATTCACAAATGTTTTTCAATGCACACACACAAATATATTTCATTCTATATAAATGTAAAACTAATCCACAAATAAAAATAAGATTCACAAATGTATTTCTGATTCACACACAAATATTTACATGTTTGTATATATGTAATAGAAATCCACAAATATATAATATACATATAGATTTAAAAAAGACATTTGTATCTTGTTACATTTATATACAAACTGTTTAGTCTGCATTTACAAACTGTTTGTCATTTGTGAACCTCACTGCATTTGTGTGTGGATGCATTTTTTTCAGCAGGGAAATGTCTGCAGCCAATCAGATGTCTCCTATCCTATCCAGCCAATCACAGTAGTATAGATTCAAGCGGAACAACAGGATTGTGAGGAACACAAAGGAGAAATCCTTCCTGCATGTTATCCCATTTGCTCTCCAGCGTCTCCAGATAACACTTGTTATGAATTGGCACTTTACAGATAATGATTTATGAATTGACCTTTAGAGCGCACACCAGGGTTGTCATGACACCGGCGGCCGTATTCATAAAACTTCCTTGT